AATGTCACACATACGTGACGCCCCGACTTTCTCATATAATTCTGTCACGAAATCCTTGACGTGTACTCTGCTAGTTTGTGGTAGCTGATTGCACTGAATCGTGAATAGCGAACGGATTTGTTGAGTCTAAAGCGATAAAATAAATTTGGATTTTGGTCTACTGTGAAGTGATTGAAGTGATCAGTTCGTAAATGCAAGTGTTGTTATTATTATTAGGGCTATAAAACGTCTGGATTGTGACTGTCATTTGTCCCCTGAGGTTTTGACAGCGCGCGTGTTAAGCAGTTTTTGTAAAGAGAAGTAGCTGTTGGCCAAGTCTTCTTTTTTGCTTCGTGATACGCAGTGAATTCGTAGTTCTGTTGTACCTTAAAAATGGATTAAATTACTACTTCCGGAATGTTTGGTTTTTAAAAATCATTTATTTAAAGTTCAAGGCTCTCTGCATGAAGTAATCAGTACACACGTCCGGTTTTCCGTCGATTCAGTTTTATCACCTTCAAGATAACGAATAAAAATGATAAGCTGTCAGTTGATGCGGTGGACAGTTGTTAATGGATTTTAATATTCAACTTGGCTTTCCTTCGTTTCTACAAGTGAAACATAGTCTACTTTGAAAGAGTTTTGCATTACATAATCGCCAAATCACCTGTGTGGGCCGTGCTCTTCAATTGTCCATTTGAGCAGGAATTTCCACCCACACTTTTTTTTTGACGGCGCCTCATGAATGAGTGTTGAGCGGGCCCACCAAACATCTCCCTCCAATCTAACTACGCGTGGGCGTTGAGCCAATTCTCATGCGTGCATCCATGTTTAGCCGTTTTATTACAAATATTGCAACATGGGCCTAATTCATTGTCTCTATGACTCCAAATCGCAGTGGTTGGTCTCTTGAAAGGGCAGGCATTGTTCTGGAAACTTCTCGGTCTTGTCAGCACACTTAGTCAGCTACCGTGAATACCCGACCTCTAATGCAATTGGATATAGGTGAACCGGTCGAGGTCTTTCTTCTCCCTCCTTCTAGAGTTCTAGAGGTTTTGTTGCATAAAAAGTAGTTGTATTTAGTGGAAATGCTTCTAGCCCAGTCGTGCGACTAAGCGTGCTGTGTTTTGTGATCGTAGGCAAGCAGACCTACGAGGAGGCGGCAATCTACATCCAGGCCTCCTTTGAGGCTAAGAATCGGTCGCAGAACAAAGAGATCTACTGTCACCAGACCTGCGCCACCGATACCAACAATATTCAGTTCGTCTTTGACGCCGTCACCGACGTGATCATCGCCAACAACTTGAGGGGCTGTGGTCTCTACTAACTACCGGAGGAGGGTGACGAAGTAGGCCACGTTCACTTCCCTGGCGCTATCCCATCCTGCCCCCAAGACCTCAAATTTCTCCCCTCCTCAACGCTGCGCAGCTCTTGATAATGGCTTTGTGGTGTTGCCCATGCTAATTTAACTTTCTTTTTTCTTGATCTTCTATTCCTCCGTTCTGTGAAATGCCCTTTCCTTGCTCCCTTCCTCTGTCCACCCACTTACCCATGTGTGCTTGCACTCCGCGAAATCTACGTGTGCGTATCATATCCTTCCAACTCTATATCCTCTACTTCCCACCCGCTTTCTCTTCTCTTCCTTCTTTGAGTTCTTCTTCTCCAGCGTCTTCTTTTAATTTACAAGAGAATCGACGTCGCTGTCGATGGTGATCTTGAAGTGAGGAAGTTGGTGATACTTCTACTGGTGGTAAATATATCACTGTAAAGCGTATGCGCTGGCATCTTTTCCTTCTTCCCGATAAGGGAAATAGACCTTTTGTTTGTGTGTAGTGACTCCAGTCCTTCTTGGGATCAAATCATCCGCAAAGCACCTCGAGTAGAGCATGAGGATTTTGTGGCATCCTTCGACTCTTTGTGTAGTCCACTACCTTCAACTTTTTCATACTTTTGGGAAAGTGGCTTAAACTGAGCTTCTTCTTCCCGATGGTGTGTATTTTTTACCTACGTTTAGGGATTCCCAACGTTAGATCCATTTTCTCAACTTTCCTTAAGTAACTAACGCAAATGTGTCAACTAGTGCTCGTGGAGGCAGTCTTTTGTCACTTAAGTGAAGCACTCAAGATCTAGTTAAAACCTGACTGACTGCCATCCTTCAAAAAGTGACTCGTAATCTCTTGCTTTTGGTGAAATATTTTTGGTATGGTTTTCAACGACTCAACTACCAAATTCACCATGTAAAACGGAGAACAACCTATTGTGTGGAGACATGAAGCAGGTATGTCTTGCCTACGAAGCATCCATTCCATTGGCGGGACTCGAAACAGCGTGGACTCTCTACTGATTATCAAAGGAAAAGGAAAATTCTCTGGATAAATTTATTACGATGCAGTAAAGCGGTTTTGGTATTGTAGTATTAATTAATCGCCAATTATACTACAATGTGGTGTTTTAATGAGTTAGGTCGGTTGAAAAGTGAATAAATAAGCAGGCCGACCACGTGATCTTTCACAGCATTTTGACATTTCCCCTAGGGCATTTTTTGACTGAATATACCTGATGACGTATTTTGTGACAGCGGGTGGCTGAAAAAATCGTGACTATTCTATTTTTGACGATTCAGAATTTTTACCGCATGAATTTGCCCCACGTGATTGCAAGTAGCCCGATTAAAGGTTAAATTTTGTTGAAGGACATGGAGCTCCTCAAACGACTAGGGCTTCTCTGAAGACGAAAGAAGACAATACAGAAATTGAATATGTATTTCCGACACACAATAGGGCTTTGGACTACTGGCGTGGCCCATAGGCCAGCCCGCCCGGTGAAAGTACAATGGTGGGGATTCCAAGTGACTCCTTTACCAAAACCTAGAATTTAACAAACAATCGTTGTGTTACGTAGGCCCTTTCCTCTGTTAAGTGTCGTCCTTGGAGCTCCCCTTGGCCAACTGCCCGTGCCAGCCATCACAACGCAATCGGTGCTCTGAGGAAACACCCGAGATCCAACGGTGCCAGTCATCGAATTTCCTTACAATTGAGGCGGTACTTTACCGCCACGTCAATGATCGCTCTTGGCAATTAAATGGATTTCGGGGAACGGGGTATATGCTTGCTATCACGCATTTCTATCGCTAGACGTTCGAACACAGACCCAAAGGCAGAGGGACAGTGCTTCGGATCGTTCGTGGGGATAGGGTTTGGCGTCTATTCCTCCTCGCCACTTGTCTCGCTTCACTGCTGCCCATCCATATCTATGTGTTCCATCAAGCTGGTGGAGAAGTGGAGGAGGTGCCACGTGTTCACATTATTGATATCTGAATGCGGCAACGGTGGACAGCTCCTTAACGAACTATTCCAAACGGTTCATGGCCATTGCTAGTGTCGCTGTGGTTGCTAAAGGCTTTCCTACAGGCTATGAGAATGGAGTAGTTAACGAAGGTAGACGTCATTATCAGCCTTTCTGTTAGGGGTCGTCACTGATTCTCCCGTCCGCAGTATTTGCATCTCTTTCGCCCCCCTAATGTTTATCACCTAGCAGTAGAAATCAGGATAGTTGTGCTGTATGATTGAGTTCGCTTTCCATTGCCAACAATGTAGCCCCCGGGACTTCCCTGAAGACGAATGTTGCCATCACACTCGAGCAGAATATGTATTGTCGACGCACAAATGGGGCTTGGGGCAACCGGCGAGGCTTGGAGGCCAAACCGCTTGGCAAGGTGCAGTGGTGGAGCACCCAGGTGGCCCCTTATACCAAAACCGCAAGTAAAACAAACAAACAACTTATTACGTGTTTTCAATAGTCACACTCCCACGCGTCACTTTTCAGTGTTTCAATCCAAATGCGCTGCAGTGATTCAACGACCGATGCCATGTTCAGCTTTTCCACATCTTAATCATGATTGTCAGGATAGTTTGAAAACAGCCACAAGTTTAAACACGCATTGTAAATGGTAGCAAGAACGCATTGCCGTACTGACTAGAGAAATTAAGGCTGAAGAGATCAAAATATCCCAGAATTTTTCCAAAACCTTTTATAATGTATGCTTAAGTTTATCCGCGGTTATTGTGAATTGGTGGTGAACCTCCCTGCAAGATACTGAGCGACTTTAGCGTAAAGAATTCTTTATATAATGAAATGCTCAAGTGACCAATCGGTTGACCAGAGTTAAAGAAAGTGGTCAAATTGTCAGAAGATGATACGACGTTGTTGTACTTGAAATAGGCGCCATTCAGTTCCTCCTTAATTTGCACTTCAAATTGCAGTAACTTTGTGCCACCAAAGAAAAAGTTCAACGCACCTCCAGGTTTTTTATCCGCTCCGCGACCACGCTGACCATAAAGCAATGCATCTTTTTCTGAGGTGAAAATCCCTGGTGGGATTTTGCGCCAAAATGTACTTTCAATGAAGTGCCTTTTTTAGGGTGTTTGGGAGAGCTGTGTGACCTTTCTGCCCATCTCCGAGGACTTCGACGTTTTTGCATGCTTCTAATTAGTTTTGTTGGCAAGAAGTGAATAAGTGCAAATTTTGACGCTTATTTCAGTTGGCAGAACCTTGTCCCTTCTAGGAGTATGAACCACTTTGTAGGGTTTTCTTAAGCTCTTGTGATTAATTTCCCTGTCTTTTTGCTATTTTATTACGAACCTGCCCCCAGACTCGTGTCTTACTGCTCTGTAAAGAAGACTTAATCAAATGGTGGCAAATGTTAGCGAACCAATTCGATGGTTGGGTATGATGCCAAGGCTTCCGTTGTGGAATACCGGATCTTCAACCCGAAGTGTTGAACGAATAGAGGGCATTTGCACAAAGCACATTTCTTATATCGAATGTAAAGAAAGCGAGAATTAAAGACCTGATACCTATCCACGCCGCGAGGAGTGGAGAGAAACTTAAGGAGCCGAACGTAGTTCTTAGATGCATCCCATTAAACAATCTTCCCTGTTTACCCGATTCTGCCTACCATCAAACGGTGTCCAGCTTTTGACACTACTCGCCAAGTGAGTTCCTTCGACTGGCAGAATCCAGGATGTGCGCCTCACTCATTGAAGTAAGGAACCTCCTCACCGCAACACAAGTCCATTTTGCCTTCAGTCCTATCTTGCAGATGAATTTGCTCCACTTGAAGACCTGTGATGACCGTATCAGGAGAATTATCGCGCGTAGCCATACGGGCAGTGCCCTGACCATGACGGAGGTCATGAATTAACATAACATCTCCCTGAGTTGTACATGTTACTGCGTTAACTTTCTTCTTATCTCTTGGTCCCTTCTGCACTCTGGTGCCTTTGGCTTCTGCTGTTGGCCTCTCAGCCCTTCTATCTATTTACGCAGTGACCTCGGACCTGTATGCACATCCACCTTAACGGATTCTACGTGAACTGGCCTTCTTAATGTCAACGGTTGCTTTGATGGAAAAGCTAGGGCGGAAATACGCGTTCAGTCTTCCAAGTTCTAGATTCCTAGGAGTAGATCTACTTACAACCCCTTTCTTTTTATAAAGGATTTTCCGGTTGTTTTTTTGCCCCACGAATATGATTTGTGAGCTACTAAGTGTTTGGTCGGGTGCAATTTCCAGATGGGAAGATGCTGTAGCTAGTTTTTCACGTGATGGTCTCAACCAACCCCTCTATTCACCCTTCTGATCCTTTGATGCCATTTAACCTTCTACCTGGATTAGTTGCGGCTTCTCTTATTATGTAGAGGCTAGAAATCTTCTAATTTTGTAAGCTATTTTGTCTATTAGAATAAAATGGAAATAATCAAAGAACTCAAATCATTACTGATTGGTTACAAGAAATAAGCCTCCTCATTTAATTTTCTTTCCTAAACTCCCCGCTGTCTCAGAATTCCATACTAAGCGCAGCTCTTCACATATCGTTTTCGTTTTGTCGCTAACTAATTCAAATTACTAAAGCAATGTACTAATGTACTATTATATCATCCTGAGACTTCCCTAAGGATGAAGGAGTACACAGTACTCGGGCAGAATGTGTACTGTCGCCATACAGAAGAGATTGAGGCCCCTGGCAGGGTCGGAGAGACAGACCAACTGGTGGAGCCCTTAAGTGTCGCGTTACCAAAACCGAGGGATAAATAAACATCCAATGTATAACACCATAATTCAGGGCTTGATAAGTAGTCCATTTATCCGTAGCGTAACTGACCGCTTTATGGAAGGCTGAATGATATCGCGCGTGTCAAACCGAGCCACTGCCAAAAGGACACTTTGGCTACCCCCTGTAACATCACGGTAGAACAGCAAGGTCATAGGCCAGGATTGTACGTGGCATGATTAAGACCAAATGCGACGAACGGCCAACAATTGGAGGAGCCCTAAGATACGCTGACTCCCTATATTTTAGTAGGTTGAGAGAGTTATTACACAGGAAACGGGTGGGACAGTAACTCCACAGAAAGGGATGGAACCACCATGAGGTTGCTCGAAGTCTTCTCCCTTGATCTGTAGACAAATTTCTCCTTGTATGCTTGCTGCATTACAATCTAATTTAATTTTCTCTGAAATGCGTCTAATTAAAAGGCAGGGTCTTGCAATTCCCCTAATGTATCCTCCCGGTAACCGTACGATCCTTCAGAATACCCTTAACTTCACTTCTCCCATGGCCATAAAACCCTGTTCTCTTTAATAGAGTGTCAATTATGCATAAGCTAACTTACCATTTATCGCCTCCTGCCTCCCTTCTAAACCACCTCTAGGAATATGGCTATTCAAAGGCAAATCGCTGCAGCAACATGCCAAGCTAAATGGCCATGCTAATGGCGAAGGCGCATTATACAGCCGTCACCTGGGTCCATTTATGACCCAATATCCCAGCAGCTACAATCTTGCAGTCATGCCCCATTCTCAGTCCCACACACGCTGGCCACGCCATGCACGCGTCCATCAACACTTGACAGCCCTCTCATTCGCCCGTAGGTGACACGCGCTCGCGCGCGCGAGTCAAACGCACCGCCATCGATTGACGCTAGTGCGGCATCTCCGCCCCTGGGCGGGAATGGGTCGGGCATTGCTGCTCAGGCCTGGCTAAGAATGCTGCGTGGACATTGCTACTAGAATAAACACATCCCCAATTCAAGATCACTCCTGAGCGATGAAAATTTCCTCCGTAACGTCGCACTAAAACGACTAACTGTGCACCAGTCAGGAGTCTGAGAGCTCCTCCGAACCATCCTAGGTTAAGCTATTCTGGTTGTTATTCTAAAGTCAGCTGCAATATCTACAATTTCAACTGTATACCACCTCAAGGCCAAATTAGGTGCATTTTGCTGAGTCACAAAGGAACCAGAAGCACATGCTCCCATCATTTCCTCATTTGGAAGATGAATGACATCCTGAACACTTCTAATCCAAGTTCAATGAAATTAAAAAATACCTCTACGAACAACCAAGGACAGAAGCCATCGCCACGGTGACGTCTACCCGGGCACAGGCCAAACTGCGATTCTCCCAACTCACCCCTTCAGCCTCCACAGAGTGCTCTCCTCTTCAATTGGTTGCCTACTTCAAAATGATTTTTCCCGCGCAAACGTCTTTCACCAATGAGAATTCGGAAGCCGTTGGGTGTGTGCGTCAAGACGTGCCTGTCCGTACCACTCACTGCTGTATCCCATGCGTAGGTGTTGACCAATGAGTGTGGCGACAAGTCCCAAGGACAACCAATCACGCGGCGACCTGATGGCCTGGCCTTATGGGACACGCCGGTTTGGCTGGCGTTCGCATACACCCATAGCTCAGCCCTCCCTCTTCCTCCTCTCCAGCTTGCCTGTTTGCCGACCATTTCGTGTGCGCCAGGCTTTTCAATTACCTTTTCTAACCGCCTAAATGGGTTGCCTTTTGTCGAAGGAAGACCGTGAGGCTCTAGAACAGAGCCGGAATATCGATAAGAAGCTCAAGGAGGATGGGATACAAGCTGCTAAGGATGTTAAATTGCTCCTCTTGGGTGCGTTCTGTGCTCCCAAATTACCACTTTTTGCACAAACTAGCCTACTTTTTGGGTGATTGCTTAAAATTATGTGAATGATTCTAGTTATCAATCGGATTTTGTTTTTTTTTTCAAATATTCTCATTAATAGTGCACCAATTTTACCCCTCGTCCATATTTCCTAGTGGCTGTAGTGTATCCAGGGTTAGGTGGATATCTAACCCACCTTTTTGTCATTTCATGCATTACTTCTGATAATTTCCCGCCAAAAACACCTGCTTCTGGTAAAAATGATAGTTTACTTAAACTTATTGCCGCGGTCGAGGCGTTTTCTTTCTTGACGTTAGATCAAAGTGATCAGTTTGTCTTACAATGGAGTTTGTTTTTTTTCCGGATGTTTTGCTCTTTAATGTGCAAGTGCCCCTTAGTCATTAATCAAAGCTTCACCAAAACGTTTGAAGTAACAGTGTTGGTAGTCACGGCACGACCTGGGCTCTGTCCGCCGGTTTCACTTAATTCTTTAATGCCTAAGCTTAACCATCAGGTATGCGCGACTACGAGGAGACTTAACACTCAACGTAATGTAGCAGCCCCCGCTTTGTAGGGTGGAAGGGTCTTTACAATTCCGTCACTCTATGCTCTATCCTACCCTTCTACTCGCCTCTTCATGAATTTTGTGCCCTTTTTGTGCCTTCTGTGGTTCCCTCACTATTTCTGCTGTCCTCAGTAAATGCATTTGGTTATTGCCTTCCCCCCCAGAGTTGGCGCCCACAATCCTCCCGGTGCCTGTTCTTGTGTTCTGCAAATAGTTTAACGAGGATGTGTCCTTGGCATTTAAAATTACTATTTAAAGAGAAACGAGCTAAAAATAGCATTTTAAAATACCAAATCCATGGCATGACGTTGTAATACAACCCTCTTAAGTTGATAATCGGTCTGCCTTTTAGGTGCGGGTGAGTCGGGGAAAAGCACGATCGTCAAACAAATGAGGTGAGCTATAACTGACGTTTTTTATTTATTTTCCATTTGGGTTCTTATTCTTTCTCTTTTCATCTGCTTTAGAATTATTCATGAGGGTGGCTTCACACCGGAGGACAACAAGCAGTTTAAACCTGTGGTGTACAGCAACACTATCCAATCAATTGCCGCCATTCTGCGTGCCATGAACACTCTGGGCATTCCCTACGGTAATTCTAGGCAATGTGTAAGTTTTGCTTTCATGGTGTGACCGCTAAACTAAGGTTATTTGGTTTCCACAACCTTCTGCGTCTTTTGGGTAGCTAGTGCAAGTCAATTTTTTCTGAGCGTGGTAGATTCTTATTAGTAGTAGTGAAAGTAAAGACGTTATTGTCCGCTACCCTTGGGGTAATGGAGCGGCAGTTGCGATGTTGTTGTCAGTCCGTTTTGATTCACTTCTTACTGCAATGTCGCTGCCATCGGCTCCTTCTAGTGCTGCCTAACAATCATCTTCGGGCCTCCACCATTAGCTTTTACAGCACCAACTCCCCACTCACCACCGCCCTTCTCCCCTCCCTCCTCGTCATCATCATTATAAGCGGACTCATTTGATTTGTGCGGTACCTGTGCTCGTGTACGCCAAGGTTGATGGATTAAAGAATGAATAGGGATGGGGGTTTGACAGTATTGCTCTTATCCCTACCATCCATCGGCCGGGATTATGCTCCCACCTCAGTAAACCCAGAACTCATTCGTTTACTAGCTCTTATTTCCTCGCAGGAAGCTACGTTGCAGCACACAACCCAAAAGTCGACGGATGGGTGGGGACGTAGCTACCCTACATGGCGTCCGGTGTAGTGCTTACAAATTTTGCGTTTCACTGAAGTGCAACATGTGGTTTAATTGCATTAGAATAGTTGGGAGTTGATCAAATGTGTCATATTTAGCTGGTGGAAGCTCATGGTCTCTGATACCACCGGACGTGAAGGATTGGCCGATTTCTCATAATCCTTTGCGGTTTTTGGAATCGTAAGCTGCAAAATTCGAATAAATCTCAAGTTTTTTCCTTGGAAATCTTCGAATCATTGAAGCATTTCATATTTGCCAGTTGAAGTCAGTTACCAAATCCTCATGCCTCTTTTCGGATTTGTTCTTACTTTTTCCATAAAGTGGAAGTGGATAGTCAACGTATTTTATTATTGTGGGATGTTGGAAACTGTTTCCAGCCCCCTTGATTTGGACCCTCTAGGAAATAGCGTTAAGGACTTTTGTTGATGGGGTTGCCAACGTATGTGTCTGGTGTCATCGGCTCTCGGATCTGAATGAGTTGGGGCTGTACAAAGAATTTAATTAGTTCCTAAAGAGGAGATGTAGAGACATTAATCTGTTATTGTTATGGAACAACTGAACGAATGAATTGGGTTGCCTTTTCAGGTGTAGTACCAGTGGGTGGCGTAGTTTACCTACTGTATGTACCCACTTTGCAGGAATTTCTACCACAACGCTTTTGTTGCTGCTTCGACAACGCTCGGCTCTATCACTATGCAATTGTAACAACTCCCCTCCCCTTCTAAGCAGAAGTCAGACTTTTCAGGGGCGATTATCTAGCGTCTACAAAAACCTCTTACAACTCCCAGCTAAACGACTTGTGTGGCTCTTGCCTGATCTGACTCCATGCGGTTTATAGAAAGAGGTCTTACTGACTTGTCCACAGCAGTTATATAAAAAATGCGACTGTGTCAAACTGTAGAAAGATGCCATTCTTCTTTTTTTCGAGAAAATGGGGCCTCTTCATTCCCTCTGACCCAAGTTTGAAGGTAATTCACTCATCATTGGAGCCACTTCCCTTTCAAGCAGCATGCCTAGGTGTTTCTTCTTCACACGAACATTACTGGTTCTCCTTTTGTTTGTTTTTCATCGGGAAAAGACATTGTGCACAACGGTGAATGATGGCTTCTTACGGTATTCTTAACGTACAGATCTGCCAAGCAGCACCCCGCCTTTTTGTATGCCCTTTTCAGCTGGCACATCCTTGGCTGTGTGGCGCTGGTCAGTGAAAAAGGGCTCTCGGGGTTGTGCTAAACCTCTCCCAATGGTAACGGCTGTTAGCTCGCAAATTGGCCTGAGGACTGCTTATTTTAACTGACACGTCCACTGCCAAAGCGTCAGTTGAAATTCAGCCACCCTAGTCCGGCTGTTTTACTGTTCTACTATGACACCGATTCAGGAATCAAAACAAGCGTAACAGCCCTTTTAAAATCAAGAACATTTTGCATCCTTTTGAATGTTTCAAGCCCCACCAATATGCTTGGGACGTCAATTTGTTGTAAAGTGATACAGAACATGTCAAACATTTGTGACCTCAGGGCTCAGGGAAACCGTGTCGTTATATATGTGCGGCGCTGTCAGTGAACTTTTTAATGAGAGTTTACCGTGGCCAGGAATATGTCCAACAAAGAGGTTTTTGCCGTACTCTAAATATCGGGAAACGGGAAATAGCTTATAATGCTTTCGAGTAGGTTAACACCATTGAAATAGTAACGACAGTTAAACCTCGTGGCTGTCAACTCAAGGATAGTTTGAGATGGGTTTATCTGCATTTAGGACTTTATTCATTTACTCTGATCCCAAGCCAAGTCTTCCACGGAGCTGGATAGTTTTCAGTGTTAAAATCACCGTCAGTCATGCTCTGTGCTCGCTAAACACTTTATGTGTAGATTTAGTGAATTACCCAAACTTCATTGTTGAAATGGCGGGGCTTGAGTTGGCAAATAACGGGAATTTTTTGTACATTTCGGCGTTCTTTTGCTAAATTAATACATTAGAAGGCAGGTGATCACAGGCCGAGGTGTGTCCCCGAAGTACCAGTACTGCACTTTCACAGTAATCAAAAGACCAGAAGTATTCCAAGTGGGGTGATATAGAGATTGCGAATTTTGGGACCATTTTATTTCTTATAATTTTATTTTATGAGAGTACTCTTATGTACATTTGAAGGTGTATTAAATGGTGTTGGAAGTTTAATGTCCCAGCAAATAGACTCGTCAAATTCGCTGACTTTGGATTTCATTGTTCTGATTTTCCGATTTTTAATGTTTTTTTTTTTGTAGATTTAACGGTAGGTCATGTTGCAGTTATTTGTTTCCGTATGTTCATGATTGAATGCTCTGGAGCCCTGGTTCTGATTGGATCAAAATATCTGAACTTCTTCGAGAGGCTAAAGGACGACGATTTACCCGTCTGTGCAAGGGTGGGGGTTCAGTGATGCACATCGTGCTAGATAGAAGCAATTACCTCAGCTGCGTGATGTTACTTAAAACTAAAATAGCAGCAAATGGTTAGTGAAGGAAATGGAACATATTTTGTAATTTGTAGAATAAGGAAACCCTTTATTGAGGGCTAAGCTTCATGCACTTACGGTCCTTAAATAGAGGTGGAAATATCATATTCCTTGAAGAAAGCCGGTACTTAACACTTTGTCAGTCAGGCTGTGTCGTTATGTGGATAACAGCAGTACTGGCACCACTTGACTCCTTTGTTCAAGTAGTAAGTTCGTCTGTTCACTGTTGTAGTTTACTACTTCAGTTGGTCTCTGGTTCAATTTAGGTTCTGCTGCTTTTATATTTCTTCTATAGTTTTGAGGTAGAAGGGTGGAGCGCCATCAAACATGGATGACAGAGCCAACCACATGATAATGCTTGGTGCTAAAGCACCGAGGAGATTAAGTTTAATCTTTTGCTCCTTTAGACGGAGGACGCACGCGTTGTGAACGAGGTTATCCAATCAATGCACGACACGGAGCCCTTCTCCGACGAGCTGTTGCAGGCCATGAAACGTCTCTGGGCCGACCCCGGCGTCCAGCAGTGCTTTCAGCGCTCCAATGAGTATCAACTCAACGACTCGGCCAAGTAGTAAGTCAATATCCCTCGCTCCACTTCACTTTTTAAATTAGATTTTAATGGAGTTAATCCTATCTGGATGGTGTTATTCGGGGGCTGAATCTATCGCATACAATTGGGGCGATAAACATCGAACGTGACTTTGTTCTGTTTTGAGCGTCGTTCTTAGTAACCCCATTTGTGACATTACAAAGGTATTTTGGTGCTTTAAAACCAGCAGATAGGAAGTAACGAAGACAGTGTGATAAAGGTTGTACCACAGCAGGATGCCGATGGGATTAATTCATTGTGACGTCTTTCAGGCTAATCTTAAGGCAACATTTTGAAAGTCGTGCTAGTTCCACTTTGCCGCCGCCGGATTATCTCTAAGGGCGTTGCACGACGTACTAGTCAGGAAATAGGGTTGGTACTGCTAACCTAGTGTTTTCGGTACCATGGACGAACTTCCGGGTCATGGAAGACTTTACAAGTCCATGTAAGGCTACGATTTACCCGACGGCAAAAGCATTGGACCTGGTGCAGTGATGTATCTGTGAGCATCTTTCCCTTACACATCTCTTATTTTCACCCATTTCTTACTGGTCGCAATTCCGTGTGAGATATTGTTCAACACTTGAATGTCAGTGCTGCATCCCATAATTCACCCATTACGAAATGCCTTGAGGAGCCTTTCTGTGGAAGATATATCCGAAATCCGGTGGGAGCTTCATGGAAAGAATAAAAACCATATAAGTTTCAGTTTCTGCGCCATTGTAAAATTGCGCATTTTTCTGGAAAAGTTTTCAGATGTATCAAGAATTCACGACTACTATTGGTATCTTCCGGAGGATCACAGCCTATTTTTGCACATTCCTGTAAGGATTGTGTTTTTTGCATTGACTATACCACGTGTGCCGGCAAGTGTGTCCAAGGCCTAAAGTGTGTGGGCAGGGTAAGTGGGCAGTCAAACATGCGATAAAAGTGGTGTTTTTTCCACACATGCGCGAATCCACTGTTCCTCTCCACTTTCTCCCCCTGTCTGCTGTGAGTCTAGAGATTGGGTTCTTGTTTCCCTTTTTTGTCATGGCAATGGTCGACTTTCTTCAACGCATGCGTGCATTCAAGTGTGCTTAACTGCGTGCTGTGTGACTGCGCTTCTTGTGTTTATTGGTGTCAGTGCCGTAGAATGTGGGACTTTTTGTGCAGAAAACAATCACCGCTTTAGAAACGCAATACTCATTGCTAAGAAGGAGAAAAGGTGTTGTGATTTCGTACGATTAGGGGTAAGTTCATGAAGCAGTAACAAAATAATTACCACAAGAATACATTGTTCCTTGGCCTTTACTACGGCATTTCGCAATGTCAACGCTTAATTTTGTCGGTCACTTCGGAGGATCTCGGTAGATGGGGGCGGTTATTTGCAGTGCAAGAAATTCCACACTCTGTAAGGTCTTGTGTAAGTAAATCAAATTTTAAAAGGTTAGACGAGGCGGCATGAAGGATAATTTTAACTCACACCGGTTTTCCGATTAAATTTACCAAGGAGCGCCTCGCTGGGGGTTGTAAAATAGCTGAATTCGCTTTTAAGGGACCTTCATCGATGTGGACTACGACATTTCTAATTGAAGGTCTCACCAAGTCCTTGGTGTTGTGGACGTATTTGTTGGCATCCCACACAACAACGATGGTTTCGCGACCGCTGAACGTTTTTCACGTCTCAGGTTTGGATTGTGTAGGCTACGTTGGAAGACACCAAAGTTGCGGTCCAGTACACAAGTTCCCGCCTTATCAACGCCCGATTCAGGCTTTGTTAACAATCTCTAAAGCTATTGTGAGATAATAACATGACCTTTGTTGCTCATCGTTCTAAGATTTGTAAAGGTTGTGGCTAATTCGCTCGGCAAATTTGACATTGTCAGCGACCACTAGTTCACCTCAACTGCCTGCTTTATTCAAACTTGATCTTATTGACGAATCGTGTCGGGTGGAGAGACCATTTGGAGTTCGGGTAAATGCTCTCGATGTCATTATCAAGCAGCTACGCTTAAGCCAGTCAATTCACTGATCTCTTTGAAATGCTTGAAGCTGTTAAATCTCGGATGTGGATTTCTCATGTTTATACATAAAAGACCAGTGGTTGAGATTGTTTGAGCACCTGTAATTAACCCCTCGCGTTGTCAACGTGTCCAGGCACGAAATTGTGTGCTTTGACTACGTTTTGAATACCGCTGGACATCATTTGCTAGTCCACAGCTGTGGCGGCGTGAATAGGGGGTAGGAGAAAGTAACTCAGGTGGTTTTTTTCTACCAAAAGGTAATGAAGTTGGTGATGCAGTTGCTACTGGAAATTGGGAAAAAAAGCAACGAAATTCCATTCTACGAACCACACAGAGTCAATGTTTATCACACGAGAGCTGCACATATTGTTTGGCTGTGATTTGTGAAATGGGGCCGTTTTTGTGGGCCGTAGATAATCGTCCCTTGAAAAAGTCTGACCTTTGCTTAGTAGAAGAAAGAGGAGGAAAATCGTTACAATTAAAGAGAGTTAGAGCTAGGAGTTGTCGAAGTAGCAACAAAGGTGTTGTGGCAGAAATAGATTCCTACAAATTGACTGACTGCCCTTTTAAATCCTCTCTAGTTATAACGCTTTGAGTAGCAGACATCAGTGGGTCCTCAGAATAGTAGCCATGGCTATTTTTAACTGTCTCAGTAACAATTGTCCGCTGGGTGGAGGTAGGGAAAGCTAATAGCCAAATTTAAGTATGTCAGTCGTAAAGTGTTACTTTTGGGTTGCACGTGGCTGTATGAACACATGAAACCTCTCTCAATCAATTTTAAATTCAGTCCTTAATAGCATTCTTCAATGGCGACAGGACCTCGATGAGTATGCTCATTTGATTTGACAACTTCAAGGCCTGATCAAGTTGGATTAAATCGTATTCGCCGATTGTAGTTTCGGGAGATGCCTATCCTGAACCGGGAAGAAAAATGGTGCCACATTATGTAGCTACCTCTTTCTCTATCCACCCATTCATCCATTTGGATTTTTATACAGAGGCAGTTTTTAATGTACCAATATGGACTGCGGAACGGATAAATACTGTTTGGCAGGACAGAAGCATAACCCCGGGCAGGGATGGTGATAATTGCAGCGGCACCAGCAGCAGTCCGAGTCCTAATGTTCATTTATTCCTCCGCCCATCTCCACATGCACGAAAGCATGGGCACGAGCATACTACAGGCCGAATTATGTAAAAAGGGATTACTTGGATGAGGGGGCGGAGAAGGAGGAGAGGAGTGTGAGGGGTGGGTGGGTGATGGCTTAGCCTTTAGGCGTGCTAATGGTGCAGGCCCTAGGCTTACGCTTGGGCGGTGTGGGGAGGGGCTGGTAGTAGCAGCAGCAGCAGATTTAACGCATCTGTCCTTGAAAGTAAAAAGCTAGAATCTACTCAAATCTTGCCCCTCATGTATCGTCAAATCTAGTTATCCATCAAGGCCTATCATCAAGGTAATGGGGAGCATTGTCTTAATTTATTGCTAAGAAAGTGGCCAGAACTTTTGCTAGGCATGGTGCAATGAATTATTCAGAAGGATTCCAGACAAAAGGGAATAAATCTCAAATTCATTATATGGCATGTCCGAGTGCTGTTCGTTCATCGACTCCACCCACGCGCACGCCCGCAGGCTCGATGGCCGTGGGCGCTAGTAATCCTGAAACAGATTGGGCAGGGTGCGAGGTGACGTTTTTTCGTTTTCCTTTGCTTTCAGTTTCTTGGAGGACCTAGACCGTCTAGGCGCAAAGGACTATCAGCCCTCTGAGCAGGATATCCTTCGTACACGAGTCAAGACCACCGGCATCGTTGAGGTGCACTTCCAATTTAAGAACATGAACTTCAAGTGAGTAATTTTGCCCTCCTTTCGTGTCTTTTCACCTATCACAATTTGTCCTTCAGAACCCTATAAGAACAGCTGACCTCAACCTTGGATGCCTCCAGCATATAGCCAATCCACACTTTGTTTTCCTACCTTTTTCTCTGAGGGGCTCTGATTACGTCAAATGTTCGCAGTGGAATAAATTCTCCAGCTCAAGCGGTTGGAACTACGCATTTGATTAAGGCATTGACGCAACTGGGTTACCTGAGTTGAAACCAAAGCGTGGTGGATAATGAAATGCTGGAGGTAGCTGTAATGGAAAGGAAGCAGTTAGAGGTTAAGCAGCATTTAAGGGACCCAGTTGTTTTGTTTTCTCTCGTAATTTAAGCAGGCGTATTTCAAAGGAGAAGTTGGCCATCTCCAGAAACTTGCCATCATTTTCTATCACGGCATAGGGAGTTAATGGTCGAAATTGGGATTTCTCCGACGGTCTATTTTACATTCCACTCACAAGTTTGTGCGACAGGAGCTCACTATGACCATTCAAAGGAAGTAGTGAGGGGAAAGCTAGCTGATTAACTGGTAGGCACTTTTTCCACTGGAAAAAGATGAGGTATGGACACTTGAAGTAAATCTTTATTAATCCCATTTTGTGATTGCCATTTTCGGGGCACCCCCAGTAACTACTTACAGTTTCCGGTTTTCACATCGTTTTTTTCACCCACTTTAATTGTTTGCACTGAGTCTTGAGAGTGAGATTGGCATTTCACCAAAAGACAACTTGGTTTCGACGATTCTCTTGTTGTGATTCACAAAAAAGATGCTTTTCTTCCTTGGCATATCGAGGAATAGCGGAATTGAAATTGTTGCCCCTTTGGAGTAAATCTGCCGATGCTACCAAAGTTACCCCTTGAAGACGTCATCAAGGAAACGAAACAGAGTTTCGTGCTGTCACCGGAGGGACTAAGTCCCGGGAGATTGAAAGGATCAAATCCATTTCGCAACAAATAAATGAGACGAATGTGGTTTGGTAGAATTTTTGTCCCGCTCTC